TACAAAGGGCTCAGTGTGGTTAGTAATAATGAGGCCACTGCCTGGGTGTTAATTATATCATGCACAGGAGTTCAGTGCCAGAGGAAAGTAAAGATAAAGAAGAAAGAGATCTTTTTAAAAAAACATTCTAAAGGGGCTTTTTTAAAAACCCTGTCCCTAAAACTGAGTAAATTAAACAAACCATAGTAAACTGAATAATGGCCCCAAAGACTCCATGTCCTAATCCGTGGAAACTGTGAATGCTACTTTATACAGATGGTCCCCGATTTGCAGTAGTTCAGTTTAGGATTTTTCTGCTTTATGATAGTGTGAAAGTGATGCATTCATTAGAAGCTGTATTTCAAGTACTCATATGCTATGGTTTGAATGTTTATTCCCTTGGAAACTCATGTTGAACCTTAATCCCCAATGAGGCAGTATTGAAACGTGAGGCTTTTAAAAGGTGATTGGGTCATGTGGGCAGCGCCCTCATAAATAGATTAATCCACTTATGAATTAAAGGATTAATAGATTATTAGGTTCATGGATTAATGGGTTATTATGGGAACAGGACTGGTAGCTTTCTAAGAAGAGGAAGAGAGACCTGAGTGAGTTAGCTCCCTCACATGGGTTGCCCTGTGCTGCTTTGGGACTCTGCAGAGAGTTCCCATCAGCATGAAAGCCATCACCAGACATAATCCCTTGATCATGGACTTCTCAGCCTCCATAACTGTAATAAATAAATTACTTTTCTTTGTAAATTAGTAAGTTTCAGATATTCTGTTATAAGCAACAGAAAATGGAGTAAGACCCCATAGAACCATTCTGTTTTTCACTTTCAGCACAGGATTCAGTAATTTACATGAGATTATTAAACACTTTATTATAAAATAGGCTTTGCTTAGATAATTTTGCCTGAGTGTAGGCTAACATAAGTGTTCTCAGCAATGTTTAAGGTAGGCTAGGCCAAGCTGTGATGTTCAAGTGTATTAGATACATTTTGTTGATCTTTTCAACTGAGGGTGGGTTTATTGGGCTATAACCTCATCATGTAAGTGACTTCAGTTATTTCCACCACACAGTGGACATTCTGTTTGAATCTTGTCAATTATTTTGGTTCCTTGTAAGTGCAGAAATGGCTTTTTAATTCATGAATTCTAGTTCTTGTTAGAAATTTCTGTTGCTTAAATCAAAACCACAATGAGATACCATCTCATGCAAGTCAGAATCGCAATTATGAAAACTCAAGAAACAATAGAGGCTGGAGAGGATGTGGAGAAATAAGAATGTTTTTACACTGTTGGTAGGAACGTAAATTAGTTCAACCATTGTGGAAGACAGCGTGGCCATTCCTCAAGGATCTAGAACCAGAAATATCATTTAACCCAGCCATCCCATTACTGGGTATATACCCAAAGAAATATAAATCCTACTATAAAGACACACGCACATGTATGTTTATTGCAGCGCTATTTACAATAGCAAAGACATGGAACCAATTCAAATGCCTATCAATGATTGACTGGATAAAGAAAATGTGCTACATATACACTGTGGAATACTATGCAGCCATAAAAAGGAATGAGATCATGTCTTTTGCAAGGAAATAGATGAAGCTGGAAGCCATCATCCTTAGCAAACTAATGCAGGAACAGAAAACTAAATGCTGTATGCTCTCTCTCATAAGCAGGAGTTCAACAATTGAGAACGCATGGACACAGGGAGAGAACAACACACACCAGGGCCAGTTGGGAATTGGGAGTGAGAGGAGGGAGAGCATTAGGACAAATAGCTAATGCATGCAGGGCTTAAAATCTAGATGATGGGTTGAAAGGTGCAGCAAACCACCATGGCACATGTATACTTATGTAACAAACCTACACATTCTGCACCTGTATCCCAGAACTTAAAAGTAAAATTTAAAAAACGAAAAACCAGAAAAAGAAAAAAGGAAATTTTTGTTGCCTATGTGACTGTAGGCTAAGTGCTAAAGTACAGCCTTCCGAGTGGGCAGTGCAACTCAGTGGTTGAGCAGACTGCAGCCGAGTGCTTGGGTCTCATTGTGATTCTGCCATGTACTTGTGTGACGGTCAGCAGTTATTTACTCTGAGCCTCAGTTTCCTAATCTATAAAATGGAAAAAATAACACTTAACTCATTAGCTTATTGTGAAGATTAAATAAGCTAACATAAGTATCTCCAACTTAACAGCAGTAATAATTTCTGAAAATCAGGCTTCTAGATAAAAGCCTGGAGCCTGGCCGGGCGCAATGGCTCACACCTGTAATCCCAGCACTTTGGGAGGCTGAGGCGGGTGGATCACGAGGTCGAGAGATCGAGACCATCCTGATCAACATGGTCAAACCCCGTCTCTACTAAAAATACAAAAATTAGCTGGGTGTGGTGGTGCACGCCTGTAGTCCCAGCTACTCGGGAGGCTGAGGCAGAGAATTGCTTGAACCCAGGAGGCGGAGGTTGCGGTGAGCCGAGATCGCGCCATTGCACTCCAGCCTGGGTAACAAGAGCGAAACCCCGTCTCAAAACAAAACAAAACAAAACAACCTGGAGCCTTTTTTACATTATTTTAAGGAAGAAAAATGTGAATGTGTAACGAATCAACCATCCCTCCCCTCTAAGCACTTTCTTAAAACTGCAACTAAACACACAAAAATTTCTATATATACATAAACTCACATTAAGATGTAAAATGCACAAAACATCCTTTCTTGATCACTAAATAACACTAACATCTTAATGCAGGCACTTCATGTTTCATACGCAGTGGTTCCAATGAACCACTGCAATAATTTTTTTTTTCGCTTTGGTTCCTTCTCTACAACTTTCTTCAATGCATTCCAAACTTTATTTGGAACTCCTTGTTCCAACTTATACTTAGCCCTACGCAAAAGCAAGTGTTAGATATGAAAGAGCAAAAAATAGGTTCCAGACCATGACACAGCAACAATGAAAGGATCACACTGAGCAGGACGGTGAGAGCTTCTGGGCATCAGTATCAACCTAAAGAGCACCTCGAAAATGCACCTCTTCTTATTTTTTCAAGAGTCAGTGTCTCACTCTGTCACCCAGGCTGGAATGCAGTAGCCCAGTCATGGCTCACTGCAGCTGCAAACTCCCGGACTCAAGTGATCCTCCCACCTCAGCCTTGGAGTAGCCAGGATTACAGGCTGGAGCCACCATACCTGCGATCTGAGATCACTGCAACTTTTGCCCCTCCCCGCCCCCACCCGCCCTCCTTGCCTCTCGGGGTTTAAGCGATTCTCACCTCAGCCTCCTGAGCAGCTGAGTAGCTGGGACTACAGGTGCACACCACCACGCCCGGCGAATTTTTTGTATTTTTAGTAGAGATAGGGTTTCACAATGTTGTCCAGGCTGGTCACTAACTCGTGGCCTCAAGTGATCCTCCCGCCTAGGCCTCCCTCTCAAAGTGCTGGGATTACCGGCATGAGTCACCGCGCCCAGCCACTAATTGCACTTTTTAAAGGTTTATACTGGAATCTCATCTCTTACCAAGTGTATTCAACGTGTCATTTTTTTTTTTTTCCTGCAAAGTCTTTTTTGTTGATGGTGGTGGTGGTTTTTGTTTGTTTGTTTATGAGACGGAGTCTCGCTCTGTCACCAGGCTGGAGTGCAGAGTCGAGATCTTGGCTCACTGCAACCTCCGCCCTCAAGGTTCAGGCTATTCTCCTGCCTCAGCCTCCCGAGGAACTACAGGTGCATGCCACTGCGTCAGGCTAATTTGCACATTTTTAGTAGAGACGGGGTTTCACCGCATTGGCCAGGCTGGTCTTGAACTCCTGGACTCAAGTGGTCTGTTTATATCAGCCTCCCAAAGTGCCGGGATTACAGGTGTGAGACACTGTGCCCCGCGAGACACCCCTCTCTTAAAAAAACAAAAGCTAAAAAAAAAAAAAAAGTTAAAAAATGTTGTTGTGAGTTTTTAGGATGTGAATACATATTTGTTCCCCACATAAACATCAACTAAAATATGTCAAAATGAGGATTCTTGTTTTTGTTTTTGAATTATGGGTATCAAAACCTATGAATCTCCTTAAGAGAGGAAGGGAAAAACGTTAAGTGTGGGGAAAGCCTTTAGAACAAGCCTGGCCAGTAAAGGTTTGCTGCATTATCAGTCTGGGTCATTAACCTTGTCAACAGTTGTATTCTGTCATTCATTCATTCATCCCTTCCAAAAATATTTTTGGAAAATTCACTTCAGGTCAACTTCTGTTGTCAACTTTGAGGGGACTTGGTAAACGAACTACGTTCCCTTCCTCCAAGGAGCCAACATTTTAGCGGGGGAAATGTAGGCCGACTGCTAGGTGCTTCCAGGGAACGCGAGGCTGAGCTGGCGACAGAAGCTGACTTCCGAGAAAAGCTGGCCCCGGGTGGCAGGCAGGAGCCCCGGGTGGGAGGCAGGAACCCCGCGCAGACAGCGAGGGATTCGCACCCTCGGTCTGCACCGCGCAGTCGGGCGCCACAAACCCTCCAGGCCCCAGCCGGGCCCGAGGGAGCGGGGTGCGGCTGGATCCCACAACACCAGGGACCCAGGGAAAGAAGGCGAGTCCACTCGGTTTGCAAGAAAGGTCTCGCGTGTTACCTTGGGTGAGGAGAAGGCATGATCGTATTGTAACTAGGGACCCCCAATGCATCTGTCCCGCGTCCGAGCTGCTCCTGTGTGCAGTGGGCACTGAGACACCTGAGGAGGGCTCCAAACCTCCGTTAAGGCAGCAGACAAGGGAAGCAGCCGAGGAAATCAAAGTGGACCGCGGCGGGCTGGAGCCGCACTGGGGCGGCGGGCCAGGGCACAGGCGAGTTGGCGGAGGCGTTGGCGAAGGCCATCCAGCCGCGGACTCCGTCCTGGAACCGACTTCGCGTGAACACACCCGGCGATTCAGAGCTCTCTCAAGTCACATTCTGAGGCCCCGCCCCCGGAACTCCGGGCTAGACGACCCCGCCCCGGAACTTTGTGTCACCGGCACTAAACGCAGAGGTTCCTCTAGTTGTACACGGACGCAACTGTGAGGTGACCTAAACACTTCCGGCGCGGAAAAATGGCAGCAGCCGTTCCGGACTCACGTGTGAGTGCGGAGGAAAATCTGAAAAAGACCCCAAAGAAGATGATGAAAATGGAAACCGGAGCCGTAGCGTCGGTGCTGGAAGAAGAGGACACAGACACGTCCGATAGCGAAGGTGATGTGGTAGGGCTGAGCTTTGGTGTCTAGGAGGAGAGGCCAGGCTGAGTTCATGTCAAGCAGCGCTTGCGATTGCATTTGCTGCTAGCTACCCGGGTTTTATCTTGGCACCAAATCGGAGCAGCGACTTTGGCTTAGTGAGGAGACTTGGGGAAGTCGTGTTCATCAGAGAAGGAACGCTGTCAACTGTAATTTTGAGTTTCCACATTCTTTTGCTAGGCATTTTCAGGGTCACTGTTATTAATTATAATAAAATGGGTAAAACAGCTGCAGCTACCGAGAAACTTAGAACAGCAAAGGGTGAAAGGAAGAGGGTACTTGAAAACAGGAGTAGGATGGGTCTCACAGGGTGTAAGAAACAAAAGGTTAAAAGAGGTAAGAGGAAGAAGTCTCTTGTACTTGACTGTTCTTGTGTGGTAGATGCGTGCGTGATTTACAGACTAAACAATAGTAAGTGAAAGAAGAGGTTGGTGGTTAAGGTCGACTAAAAACTGCTAGCGTTTGATAACTATGTCTCTCAGAGACGCTTGATAATAAAACATGGAAGGATGTGTTTTGAGGCTTTCAACCATGCTGTGTCTGTTGCTCCTCATTTTTGGCACTAGCTTCTTAGGTTGCAAGGAATTGCAGATAATCCCTGACTTCCTACTGCCCAGTTATTGCTCCTTTGTACTAGGTGATACCCATAAAACAGCTATTCTTTTATAACACATTTCTTTTCATGTCTGCTTGAGATGATCCAGTGGCTTCCCATCTCAGTATATAACATCCAAAATCCTTAGCCTGTATGATTTGGGCCAGGTTGTCTGTTGTAGGCCAGTCTGCCCCTCACGAACCACTAACTAATCTAGCCATATCGGTATGCTTGTGTTTGTTTAACACCCTAAACATGCTCCCACACCATGGTTTTTGCACTTGTTGGCTCCGCTGCCTAGAATAGGTTTCAAATGCTTGCATGTCTCTCCCTCACTTCCTTCAGCCTCTGATCCAGTCCCTTACCAGAGAGACTTGTCCCCGATTACCCTATCTAGTGTACCACCACTACTCTTCTTCCTGCCTTCCTTTCTTTGCTTTTTGACTTATTGCCCTGCTTTATTTTTTTTTCAACCCTGCCCAACCATTTGATGTATATATTTGCTGCATATCTTTCCCAACTGGAGTATAAGTTCCATAAAAGTAGAAACTGCTGTATCCCCACTTCCTGTTGCCTTGTGGATCCATCTCCTGCCACATTGTTAAGGAAAACAAATTATTTATTGAGCAGAAATTAGAACTTTTGGTTCTGATACTTTTTGAACTCATTAGACTAGTTTGAACAGTATTGTTCAAAAAAGGAAGAGTACTATATTTGGAGCAAAATGTCAGTACTGCTTACAAATTGGTTCTTTTTTCTTTTTTCTTTTTGAGACAGGGTCTTGCTTTGTCACCCAGGCTAGACTGCAGTGGCACAAACATGGCTTATTGCAACCTTGACCTCCTCCACTGCCCCCCAAAGTGATCCTCTTGCCTCAGTGCCCCCAAGTAGCTAGGACCACAGACACATACCACTGTACCTGGCTTTTTTTTGGTAGAGATGGGGTTTTGCCATGTTGCCCAGGGCGGTCTTGAACTACTGGGTTCAAGTGATCCACCCGTTTCAGCCTCCCAAAGTGCTGAGATTATAGGCCTGAGCTATTGCACTGAGCCAAATTGGATTTTTCTGTTCAAGTACTGGATAATTCCAAGTTGGAACTGTTCTGATGTTTCAGCGTATTATTATAAATGCTGATTAGGTTTTAAGGTTCTCTTGCTATTATAGATCAGCTGCATTATGGATTAAGAAGGTTTTTAGCTAATATGGAAACGTAATTTATCTAATTCAATTCAATGAACAATTGTTATGTTCCCCCAGGTTCCAGTCACCCTCTAGGTGTTGAGGATACAAAGGATGAATAAATGTCTGCATTAAAATTACAGTTTTAGGAAAGACATTAAATACAGGACTGTAACATAATGTATTAGGTATAATTAAAAGGTAGTTTTCAAGATCATGGTTCAGTTTAGGAAAGGTAAGGATGGAGACAGAAATCCATATCCTCTGGAACCCAACCTAGGCATTGCTCACTTGCATCTTTCATGTATTACTGATAATATTACTATGTTATCATGATATTAACATGTCTCTCTCCTTACAGAGATATGTTCCCCAAATGTTGAAACTATGTCTTGTTTAGTTTCACAGGGTCTTCTTTGCATATTTTAGTATTCAGTAAATTGTTTTGTTGAATAAATCAATAAGGTGGCATTCTGTCTAGGCTTTAGAAGAATGTTCACGCAATTGTGTAAGAGGCACCTGTGTTGGTACTACCTTTCAGAGTGACTTTGTGCTAGTTATTTACTATTTTTTTGGCCTGGGAGCATAGAGGGCAGTTTTCTCAGACATAAAAGCATGTACAGTGGCATGCAGTCTCTTAAAATTTATGGCCTATTGCAGACAAAGTAATCTTCTGTTATGGCTCCAGTTGTTCAGAGAAGTGACTAGAAGTAAATCTAGAAACTGGTTAAAAGTAGATTATAGGGGGGCCGCGCGCGGTGGCTCAAGCCTGTAATCCCAGCACTTTGGGAGGCCGAGGCGGGTGGATCACGAGGTCAAGAGATCGAGACCATCCTGGTCAACATGGTGAAACCCCGTCTCTACTAAAAATACAAAAACATTAGCTGGGCATGGTGGTGCGTGCCTGTAATCCCAGCTACTCAGGAGGCTGAGGCAGGAGAATTGCCTGAACCCAGGAGGCGGAGGTTGCGGTGAGCCGAGATCGCGCCATTGCACTCCAGCCTGGGTAACAAGAGCAAAACTCCGTCTCAAAAAAAAAAAAAAAAAAAAAGGAGATTATAAAGGGTCTTGTATATTTGTAGGCAGCAGGGAGCTACTGAGAACTTTTAAGCAAGATGGTGACAGACATTTATAAATACTGCTGCCAGATGGTAACTGCCAAAGAGTTTGTAGGCAATTTTGCAAAGCTACATGTTAGGATCTGCACTAGGACAGGACAGTGAAAACAGAGAAGGGCCCCACTTGAAACATTTTTTGGAAAGAAAGTATTCAGTTTTCCAAACAGCCAACTTCCATGAAAGTTTGTAGCACCGTAAGTTTTGGGCATACTACACTGTTAGAGGAATTTAATAATAGCAGTAGTTATATTTTTTGAGCTTTTCTAGGTCTCCGGTTCTGTTCTGAGTTCCTTATATATATCACCTCAGAGAATTCTGACAACTCTTTGAGATAGATGCTACTATTATCCTCATGTTACATTGAAAAAACTGAGACACAGAGGTTTATAACTTGCCACTTCTGTACATAAGCTGATAAGCAAGTTGATAAATGATACAACCATTATTGACATTTGATTGTACAGCTTATGCTCTTGACCACTACCTTTATATGGTTGAGGAATCAGGAGGACACAGATAATAAAAAAAACTATCTGGAAAGTGAAAGGGCAGGGCCATTGAATCTAAAGAAAGAAAGGATTGGTATTGGATAACAATACCAATTGATAACAATTGGTATACAAGGAGACTTTGGTATTGGACAGACTTTTCTCCCTCCCACTCAAGAAGGTTTGATCACAAAGGGATTTTTTTTTTTTTTTTAACTTACCTGCTAGCAGTAACTTAAACCAAGGGATATTTTTTGTGTTCAGATTTCTATAGCACTTCTTCCAGTGTTTATAACCAGAGTATTCTTTCCTTCCTTCCTTTCTCCTAAAATCCACATGTTATTTCCGGAAACAAATTCTGATGTTCACACAATTGTGTAAGAGACACTTGTGTTGGTACTACCTTTCAGAGTGACTTTGTGCTAGTTATTTACTATTATCTGCCTCAATTTCCTCATCTACAAAATGAGTATGATAATGGTGTCTACTTCAGGATCGTTGTCAAGATTAAACGAGTTTATATATGTTAAGCATTTAATATTTGGCACATGGTACCCCCTCATAAATATTAGTGATGATGATGATGTCTCTTCTAATCTAAAAGAAACTGCTAGTCCTTTCTTTTTGCCAAATAAGCTTTCCCACCTTTGGTAACGTGGTGTTTGTAAGTAGGAACTCTCCCTAGAAAAAAGGTTTGAATTAATCTAGTAATCCTGTAAGGTAGCTGATGGCATTTCTGTTTACAAATAAGAAAAGAAGCTTGGAAATAGTGTTTCCAGTACATCACTGCTTCCTAGTAGAAAACTGTTACCTCCATAGGTGCAGGATGTTATCTGTTATTCCAGCTGTTATACTGTAACCATTTGATCACGTATTGGTAAAATTCAAGATCAGTGATAATGATTTTGATAACAATTGGTTGTGTCTGCTTGCTTGTGCCATACACATCTCAAACTCAATATTTCAGAACCATCCTGGCCAATATGGTGAAACTCCATCTCTACTAAAAAAAAATACAAAAATTAGCGGTGTGTGGTGACGCTTGCCTGTAGTCCCAGCTACTTGGGAGGCTGAGGCAGGAGAAATGCTTGAACCCAGGAAGCAGAGGTTGCAGTGAGGTGAGATAGCACCCCTGCACTCCCGACTGGGTGTACAGAGTGAGACTCCATCTCAAGGAAGTCAGGAATTTGAGACCAGCCTGGCTAACATGGTAAAACCCCTGTCTCTACCAAACAAAAACAAAAACAAAAAATTAGCCTGGCGCGTGGTGGTGCATGCCTGTAGTCCCAGCTACATGGGAGTCTAAGGCATGAGAATCACTTGAATCTGGGAGGCAGAGGTTGCAGTGGGCCGAGGTTGTGCCACTGCACTCCAGTCTGGCTGCCAGAGTGAGACTCTGTCTCAAAAACAAATAAATAAATAATTTTTAAAGAAAAAAATCTCAGATTAACGAAAAAGAAAAAAAAGAAATTACTCAATTTTTTTTTTTTTTTTTTTTTTTTTAAGACAAAGCCTTGGTCTGTTGCCTAAGCTGGAGTGCACTGGTATAATCAGGGCTCACTGCAGTCTTGACCTCCTG